CCAAGAGCTTTCTGACCCTGCATAGACAGCAACGCAATTGAAATGCTCAAGGCCCAGAAAGGTAGTGAGGACGTTGTTAAAATAGTCCGTGTGACATCAGTGGTTCAACTGTAATGTTATGAAGCTACGAGAATACTTTCTGTGCGCAAAGAAAACAAAAATAACGACTTTATTCAACAATTTCTTCTCTTCCGTGTCAGTCGACGCGCGTTCACGAGAGTATCACGACACATGCGTGTGGTGCTGCTGATGCAGGAGCCGGCGTTCTGACGTAGAACTCGCTGGTTCTCGTGACCGAGCTGGAGTCATGTTCAGCGGGAAACTGCTAACTTCAGAACGCCGTCCTGCGTATAACTCATAGCCGAAACATGCTGCGACTGCCTCCATAACCTGCCCATAAACAAACAGTAAACAGCTCTGAGGACATGTTTTAACATCCAAAGTAATAATATTCTGTATCTTTATGAATAAAATAATTTATTTTAGGCAAAGCATCAGGGTCTTCCATCACGCAAAAAGACCGATGCAACACTCGTTTAGGTGATTCACACGAGCCCGTCTTGTGTTGCTTTGCATAAAATTTAGCAATATACAGCACAGTAACGATTTTATAGATAAAATAAAATGTACACAAACCTGTATTTTACCGAAGAAATGGATCAATTCGATGGCGCTTAGAACCAGTGTTAATTTCGTTGACGAATAATTTTCGTCATAATTTTCGTCAACAACATTTTTTTCACCGACGACAACGAGACGATAACGAACTAAAACTCTTTTTTGAATGACAAAAACTATGATGAAAATCTATTGACATTTTCGTCAATGAATAAAAACGAGACCAAAAAGTTAGGGAGGGACGATTTGGAAAGAGATTCATTCAGAACGAATCTGCTGCATGGTTAGGAGATTAGATGCGTACATATGAACTAGGGTTGTGACGGTGAGGAAATTTTCTCACCGGTTAATCGACGTGTGACAACACCGGTATACATGTTTACTTAGGTATACAAAACTGGAAATAGGCTAAGTAAACATGTATAATATCTAACCAAATAAATAAGAAACGTAGAACGTTTATTAGCAAAACGAGTAAGAAAGCTTGGAGGCACGGCATACACCTTGATGTCAAATAAAATAAATAAATGAAAGTTTAAATAAAGTAAAAATCAGCAAACAATGTGGAACCAATTAAATAAGAAACGAATGTTTAAAAAAACTTCCAAAATCACCTTAGATAAATGGCAAAAGTCAACAGGCTTTTCAAAATCCAAAATATTGCCAAATCCAAAATTTGGCTTTTCAAAATCCAAAATTTTGCATCTCGTTTCGAAACTAAATCATCCGCGATGGTCTTGTCTGTCTCACCTCACTCTTCTTGTCAGTCAGCTCGACTCACTCTCCTCACTGGAGAAATTAAATCTGATCTGTGATGCAACTGTCGTTCAACTGCATTGAGCATCCGTGTTCAGTTTTTAATTGTAGTGTCTCTTCTTTTACTGAACTAAATGATTTTTATTACTATAAAAAATCTAAACGACGGTGGGGGTCGGTGACGCGGTGGGCAAGTGACGTAACCGGTGTTGCGGCTTAACACCGGTATCACCGTCAGCACCGTCTATCGCGGCAAGCCTAATATGAACCAGCGGGACATAAGCTAACATACACTTGCTGCACGTTGCATAAAACGTACAGAAATGTTAATATGTGGGAGTAAGAGAAGAGCAGACATGTGGATAAATCTGACGACGCAAGAGAGAACTCAATTCGGTCCTCAATTTTCAGAGCGCAGACACTGAAGCATACACACACAGAAAGCGCGTCTCACAGCGCGCGAGTACTCTTTCGCGTCGCATGAACAGAGAATTACACACAAAATTATGTCGAATTGTCCGTTTTGACGAGTATTCACGTAAACACAGTTGATTACGTCTTAAGTGAACGTAAACAGCAGGGAGAATGTGTATCAATACATTGCATCCATTGCAGGTGTGCTTTGGTTTTAAAGGGACAGCAGCCTAATTTAGTTGCTATTGTCCGAGTCATTGATGTCAATCAAGCAACAAAAGAACGACAGAAAATCACGCACTGCTCTTGACTGTAAAACTTTAGTAGCCCTAAAGATTAATCTAAATTTATTTATTTAAATATATATGTCTGCTTGAAAGAATGAAGAATATGGTAAACAAGTTGCTATAAAGAATGCATAATTAGCCTATATAACCATTGGTATTTCATTATTAAGAAGACCATGTTCTTGTTCTTTATGAGAAGTGGTTTTATTTAATTTTAACATAAAGGCATGTTGTGTGTCACCGCAGTTAAATCGGTGTCTATCATGACAAAACCTTAATATCAAACCTATATAATGAGTTTGGAAATTTTAGAGAAATGCTTAATAAATGCATTACACTGTAACTATAAACCCATTAGATTTTAGCAGACTAAATTTACTCTAGATTTAGTCTACTAAAATATTATGATATTTAGTCAACTAAAACTAAAAACAATTCAGATGACTAAAATATGACTAAAACTAAATGGCATTTTAGTCAAAAGACTATGACTAAAACTAAATCAAAATTTGCGGTCAAAATTAACACTGCTTAGAACTGCTCTCTCCTGAAGAGGACGCAAAATCCCCGCGTTAAATAACTGGGTTACGTCTGACCCAAGCGGCAACCTTCCGGTCTCTCTCTTGAATCCAACATGGAAGTGACTTAAACTGCAATTCATCAACTGGCCGCTAGAGACTGGCCCCAAAAGGGAGTCAATCCCATAGACCCCCATGTTAAAATGCCCAATTTTACAGCAGAAAATTTTTTTTACAGCCTGGTACAAAAAGTGGTTTTGGTCTATATTGCTAATTTTGCCCATCATGACAACTGTGAGGGGGTGAATTTTTTTTAGAACTCATCCATTTAAATTATATTAAGCCTTAAAGTTCTGAATAATTAAGGGCATGGCCACTTGAGTGACAGGTGGATTGCTGTCACCACTGTCGAACTAGGAGGGTGTGGTTTCAGCAAACAGCGATTATCAAGGAGTGACTCGCTGCCAAGATGGCGACGGCTGGCTCCGCCCACTTTGGGCTTCAAAAATGCTCTTCAGAAACCTACGGGTGACATCACATGTTTTTATACAATCTATGATCAAAATCTACCCAAACACTGAAAAAATAACCCAAAAAAATAACCCAAAAGGCTAAATCCAGCATTTGGGTTGAAAAAATAACCCAGGATTTTTTAGAGTGATCAAAATACAATATATTAAAAACATCAAGGTTAAAACTAAGAACAACAAAAATGACCAGATTTGCAAAACTTTGCAAATATGTTCCAGATTTGAGGCCATTTAATTTAATTTGTGTTGTCTTCAGTGTTTCACATCATTTGTCAGATTTGAGATATGAAGCAACTAAAGTAATTTTTATGTAAATCTGTTATTATAGTTTTTTTTTGTAGTTAATGAATATGTTGTTGTTGTTGGCTAATTTTTACTTTCATAATAGTTTTAGTTAATGATAATGATGATAACGTGACAAGGAGCTCCCATATGCAACTGTTTTTTTCCTTTACTGTTATAGTAAAGAAAGACAGTTATATCAATACTTCAACTTCTGACTTATATCTGATTTCAGATTTACCCACATTAAATATCACATAAAGCAAGGGGAATAATGGCTGAATAACAGCGCTGTGCTTTGGACTGTGGTTTGACTGAAGATGTAAAACTGGACTTTCTGTGGTGTTGCGAATCACTGTTAAACTAACGTTTGCAGTTTGTGTGCACATTGAAAGAGCTTCCAGAACTTTGTGAGGCAAACTTCCTGTTTGTATTTCTTCCAATTATCCTAGGTACAGACAGAAATGATGTGAACACAACACAGAGCCTCATTTCCCCCGTTCAGTCCATAAATATCAAACACAGGGGTCTGCTCCATTGTCAGGTTGACTTTCTTTCCTAATGTTTTCCATTTTCTGTCCTTCCTTTGCTTTTATCTTGTATTCATGTAGTCGGGCTGGTTCTTTATCAGCAGGTGGTAGTGGATTCATCATTACACTAAATGTGAGACACACATACTCTCCAGTGATCAAAGCAGCTGTCTATACTATCAGCACATCTAATGACAGCCGGCACTTATTTAGTTCTGCCAGAGCATTATTATATCTGACTTCTTCAAAACTTGCTTACAAGGTAGTTGTGTGTGTATGTCAGTGTCACTTTAATTGGCTTTCATGCATGTAATGCTGATTTTCTAAACATGTTACTGCAGGGTGTGTTAAAGTAATAGTTCACCTGCAGATTTTTCCAAACCTGTATTAATTTCTTTCCACCACGAAACACAAAAGTGCCATAAATGTAGCATAAATGTGTCTCTATGATTTCTGCTTTTTATTCCAAGTCTTCTGAAATCAAATCATAGCTTTGTATGATGCACATACAGAAGTCTAAAGCGAAAGAGCTACAGTGGAAGATTTTTAACAAATAATGACTTACTATATTTCAGTCTGTTCCTTCTTTAAGACTTTTAATAAAGCGCACAAGTCATATGAACCACATTTAATGGAGCTTGATATATCACTCTATGGCCATTGTATGAAAAAAAAATTATTTTATGATGGCTAATAGTTAATTGAACACTTAATAGTTCTCACTCCAAAGAACATGAGATTTGTTCTTTTATTGCTTTTAAGCAGCCATATTCTCATAGAGTGCCGTCTAAGTTAGGATGGAATTTTTTTGGTTTTGTGGTGCTTCAGGGACCTGACATCGATCCTCTCCACTGGTGCCTGTCAGATGCAGGTGGAGATTGTGACATGCGAACCAGCGGCCTGCAAAACATGACAGAGTGCTGCAACCAATCACTGTCAACAACACTCAACACTGCCATACGTAACCCTGGCAACCAAGACCACTTTGAACCAATGAGATTTTCTCTCCAAACTTCTTTGACTAACGAGCATCACTGACCGACGCCTCTGTGTTTCTATTTTTAGGGGCCACAAAAGGAAACTGGAGGAGGCCAGAGAAGATAACGCCGATAATGATGATGATGATGGCAGCTCCAGTAAAGACTCCAATGAGGATGAGGAGGGCAGCAGCTCGGAGGCTGATGAGATGGCCGCTGCGCTGGAGGCGGAGCTAAATGATTTCATGTGAGCTGATTGGACGACGATGCATATGAACTATTCTGTGTTCTCATAAGGTACCTGAGACAAAACATGCGTTTGTGTCGCTGTTATACAGCGCAAGTAAGTGTGTGTGTGTGTGTGTGTGAATAAAACGAATGGATTTACAAAGTAGATAGATATGTACAGATAGAGTTTTAGTTGGACAAGTCCAACACAAAGTAATTTTATTGTGAATTTACTTACAGTACGTAGAGGTGTGGGTGAAGTATAGCTTCTGTGTCTGATGTTTTACTTAGTTTCTGTTCCAAAATTAATTTTTATATAAATGTAAATGAAATTAAATATTTCAACTAATTGGTAATGAATGCCAAAGAGTCTGAAGCGGGTCTGCAGCTGAGAGCTGAGAGATGTTTGGAAGGGTTTGTGGTCCTCACCAGCAGTCAAACTCAGACGTCCGAATGTGTCCAGTGTCGTCTCTTTCCTTTGGTTTCGTGCGTCGTTTCGTGACTGACACTGTGCTGCACCAATCCCAGAATACCAGCACTTTTAGACACGCCCACAGCCACTATTACCAAAAAACTCACAACTGCTAAGAACGTGAAATGTAAAATCAGTTCATCTGTATTATCAGTAATAAGCGTGCAACAAAAGATCTTATTTACACCGTTATGGTTCGCGACTGATTTGTTACAATTGTTTGTATTAAAGGAGTAGTTCACAAAAATTGCTTTTATAGTTCTGTCATCATTTACTCACCCTTGTGTCGTTACAAAGCAAGAAACACAAAATGAGACATTAGGCAGAATGTCTGAGCTGCTTGTTTCATACAGTGTTAATGCCACAGTCCAAAATGAGCACCTTACATATCCTTTACAAATCCATAATTTACATCTTCTGAAGCCATAAGATAGCTTTATGTGAGGAAAATACAGGAAAGTCTTTGTCCTCTTAAAAGTTTAACATCATGAAATTTATTCACAAATGGATATCAATGCACCATTTTAATAGTCCATATGGCTTTTCAGATCGTAGATAAAAGAGCTGCTCAGACGTTCTGCGCCTTTATTCATTTTTTACAAAAGAAAGGACACTTTGGAACAGCATGAGCGAGAGTAAATGATGACGGACTTGTCATGTTTGAGTGAACTGTTCCTGTAATCCTTTACAAATCCATAATTTACATCTTCTGAAGCCATAAGATAGCTTTATGTGAGGAAAATACAGGAAAGTCTTTGTCCTCTTAAAAGTTTAACATCATGAAATTTATTCACAAATGGATATCAATGCACCATTTTAATAGTCCATATGGCTTTTCAGATCGTAGATAAAAGAGCTGCTCAGACGTTCTGCGCCTTTATTCATTTTTTACAAAAGAAAGGAGACACTTTGGAACAGCATGAGCGTGAGTAAATGATGACGGACTTGTCATGTTTGAGTGAACTGTTCCTGTAACTACCTGCAAATTGATGCTTCTGATCTTAATGCTCCTAAGATGACATTGAAATGCCGCTTTTTACTCTGTGATGTCAGCGTACAGATATCTTCATTTGGCTTCAGGTGCTGATAGTGAACACTGTGGCAGCGTTAAGCCGGGTGTTTGGTTGACTCTCGTGCCACCCTGAACCATCACTGTACACACTGATCAGATCTGGACCTGTAGGCATCAAGACTACCCGTCTAAGACCAGTCTCATGAATTCACTGGATCTAGCTGGTTTTCTTCTGCCGAGCTGCTTGAACGATGAGACGTCCAGATCTAACTCTGTTTCAAATGTTTCTCAGAGGTTTGTGCACCTCATCTGTCTGTGCTGTTTTTGACTGATTTGACGGATTTTCTTTCACTTTCATTGTGGTGTTGTTATTTTCAACAATGTAAAGTATTTGTATAATCTATTTCGTACTTGACAAAGAAAATGCTTTTCATTTAATAAAGATTTGTTTTATAAACCAGTGTTTTGAGGGTTTTTTTTTATTGTTGAATGCAGTGTATTGTGTTATAATAAAAAACTGTAAAGTGGCACAGATGACCTCAATGCTATATTGTAAGAAATCAGAAGTTGAGAAAACACAAAAACATGAGGCAGCCAGCTTAAATATACTCAACATATTGGAAAAATTGTTGTATTAACCTAACAGTTAAAGCAGGTCTGTGCAAACTTCAGTTCTAAAAACGTTTAAAAAATATATACTGTAACTTGTGGATTTAAGTTCAATAATCTTACATTTTAAGTTAAGCGGAGCATGAACATTACTGTACATGATAGAACTGTCTTAGTTTGTGTAACTTTTGTATCAGTTTGAGGAAACTGAAAAGCTTATATAGAGTTACTATATTTGTATACACCAATACAAGTTTAGTATATACTCACTGAAATGGAAGAAACTTAATCAAAGAGAACACTAATCACGGTAATGGTGACATATACATAGAGCTAAAACATCTTGACCAATAGCCGATGCCGATATACATTTCCTTTTGTTTTGAACCAACACCAAGTCTCTCTTGTGCAGAAATTCTAAACAAATTATTTTACATTTTTATTTGTTAGAAGTAATAAACATTCGGTAACACTTTATTTCGATAGTCCACTTTAGACATTCTATTAACAGTAAGTAACTTTGCAACTACATGTCAACTAGCAGTTAGTAGAGTATTAGTAGACTGTCTGCTTAATATCTTCTAACACTTTCTGTGTCAACATTCTACTAACCTTAAACCTACCCTAACAGTCTACTCTGAGAGTTAGTAGACATGTAGATGCAAATTAATGAGAATTAGTTGACATGTAGTTGACATGTAGTTACAAAGTTACTTATAGTTAGTAGAATGTCTAAAGTGGACTATCGAAATAAAGTGTAACCAAACATTCTTCAAACAAAGTTATTTTTTTTATGAGAGCACATTGAATAAGTATATAAAATAACTTTTTTTTAGACATATGCAGTTGAAACCTTAACATTTTATTTGTGGATTTAACATTAATAGATGGTCTAAAGCAAAAGATCTGTAAAAATTCAAGAAATCTTTTAGAGCTCTTTATATTTAAGTTTTCTTAATCCATTTGAAAAAATATATATTTCATATTAATGAATAAATTGGTATATATTAAATTCTTTAATTTACAAGTGTCATGCTTGTGATTTTTATTCATGTATAGCTTCTGGTCTTTAAATCAATACAGACATGTGATTTTATGACGTCAATTACAACACCAGTATCTTAATGTTCTTTGTGTTTAATTTTTTTATTGTTAATTTACTTTATATTTTATTACAAGTAGGCCCCCTAAATAAATAAAATGCCTTACTGCTGCTGCATGTGCTAGTGACTGTTGACTCTTATCGCACACCGGACGCGGCATTCCGTACGTTCTTTCTCTAAACGCGGTGATCCAAAACAAATGTAAATCACCATTCAGGCTATAGTTCGCTTCAAGAACTAGTACACTGCTGACGTGATCTTATCACTAGAGCGCCGATGTTTACATTTTAAGCTTTTATCGGCCGATTCTGATAACAATCCGATAATATCGTGCATCCCTAAAAAAAAGGGCTTAAGAGAAATAGTTTCTGCAGGATTTCCCTGACGTAAAATTAGCTGAAGCTCATTAGGCCTGCAGTGCTGCTTCAGTAGTGATTTGACTCTGGCCACTGTGTTGTAGGGGAAAATCAGTCTGGACGCCTCCTGTCTCTATGATCCTCTTTCATCCACCCGCTCAAAAGCGTTCAATAAAACACACTCAAGGGTCTTTCAGTGCAGTCAACACAGCTTTACTATGAAGCAGCACATCTGGAATACCGATAATGCCGATTTACAGTGCAGTCGAGTGGATGAGTTTCTCAAATGTCTGAAAACACTCCAGACTTTGAGGATTGCACTTTAGTTTCAGTGATTCCTCTTCATTTGTAAATCACTACAGATCCCACAGCTACTCTACTGTATGTCTTGAGGTTGTGCTGAAATCTCATAACACGCCAGTGTATTAATCCTGAGATTAAGGAGTAGATCCCTCAATGGGCTTTTCAGAATAATCATAATCCCACTAATCTTTTAATTGTGTCATCTATGCGATGAATATTAGCTGTATTGTGGACAGTTTTGAATTTAATTAAAAGCTCAATGTGCAGTCTCAACTCTTCTCTCTTCAAACGTCAGTGCTGTGTTAATATATAAGGAATTATAACTACTTATGCAATAATGTACAGTGGCCCCAAAATTATTTGGACACTTATGTAACACTTAAAAATTTCTGAATTACTTTGAACTTTTATTGTTCTTGAAAGGAATTGCATTATATATAGAAATATACAAATCATGCCAATTGACATATATTTTAAAGAAGCATAATTAACTTTTCAAGCAAATCATGAAATAATCAAAAAAAATAATAGGGCAACTATAATAGATTTTTAACTATAACTATAATATATTTATTTGAGATACTGCTAGAGAGCTTAATTTACCTGGTAAATCTGTACTTTCACCCATTCAGATTCAAAGGCTTTAAGGTGATGTTCTGGTTGTTTGGCTGTGAAATGGGCTTTGTTTGGCTCTCAGAGATGTGGTGAGTATACATGAGCCCTTTCTCTTGCTGTTTCTTGCTCTCTCCTCGTCTGTTCTCAGGGCTGTGCAGTGGGAAAGGTCAGCACAGTCCAGCAGAAACAGCTGCTTTATGTTTTGACTGACAGCTGTATCAATGGAGCTCTGAATTGCTTCTTCTCATCACTGATTTTCTGCGATGTAAGTTTGCCTGTTTCCACTGGGGAAATATTATGAATGAAGCTCAAAAAGCCAATAAATAGGTTTTTTTTCTTCGTGCGTGTGTGTGTGTGTGTGTATTGTTGATCATGCACACTGGCAGTGTAGCAGTTCCCTTAAGGCGGGCGTACACGGTGCGATTTTTGCTGTCGTACGAGCTCGCAGGCGATTTTTTTCTCTCAGGAGAAAATCGCAGATGCTCGCATGGTCGCGGCTCGTACCGTGTGAGAAGAATTACGGG